TTTAGGTTGGTTGGTAAAATGGTAAAACGGCATTTCGTTAACGGCATTCCAGCTCAGTTAAATGTGTTATTTAGAGCACAGCAAGAAAGGATAGCACTTAACGATATGACATGGTGTCATTTTACCAACCCGAAACATAACATTATCAATCAAACGAACGAATGAATAACAACATTAATAAATATTATTCCATCCATACTAATCAAAACACAAACTGTCTAAAAATACACTACTAGAAATGGCCACATTAACATCGATATGCTGGTGGTGGCTGGTACATGTCAACATATCTATCGATCGCACAATTTAACAAAGTAAATTGCTGATAACGGCGGCATATGCTTAGATTTAGCACTTTGCCCATGAGTAGCAGTTCGAAGTCAAATCAAGAGTAGTAGCTATGTCTAAGCTTAGACTTGTGCTTAGCGCCTCAACCAAGCTCAGGCTAACGCATCGGCTTCGAGTTCGGTGTGAAGCGTATGAGCACACCAGCGTATGAGCATCTGTGATATCTGGCGTGTTGGCACCCGTTATCAGCAAAAGGGCGGCCGACCACACAAAGTTATCATAATAATAATAATAATAATAAAAATATAACTTTTTCAATTTATATTATCAGAAAAATCTGAAATGCTGAGAGAAAGCAGCCACCAAAACATACGCTTCTCTTAAAGCCTCACCGTGGTGTTGATGCGGCAAATATATTCTACAGATGCGGAACTACTGCTGCTGCATCACACAACAATCCAAAACAACATTCAACCCCTCGGGCGATCGAAAAAAAATCGTTATTCCATCAATCACGATAACACCGCGCTCATATATGTCACCGCAACACATGATTTTTAAGTGGGTTTGGCACGCAGCCAGCGCATGCATTTTCGCTACGAGACGCAAATCCTTTCGAACGACTCCGTCAGCTAACTCAAGTCTGCTGGTGTGCGCAGTCAGCAATGAGTGCCCCTGACCTTTGACCTCTATCTTACACTCGCGTCTGGCTTACCACCTTCTATCAGTGTGAGTTTGACCACCACCACCGTAATACACTGCGAACCATCGTTTCCATCGTTCGTCAACGGTTCGCGGAGCTGTGCTCACGCTTCCTTATCATCCCCCACCGTCGTCTCCAGGGCCGTTTAAATCCCTCTCCAAAGCTGTTCATATTACTTACGCTATATCCGTATGCATCTCAACCAATTTCAAATGGCTCCCCATTGACTCCTTAACAAACGGCTGCCCCCCGGACAGGTGACAGACAGCCAGACACCACTAACGCTAGTCAATCGTCACATAGAGCAAAGCTCACGTTCCAGCACGCACCATTTGTCCGTCAGCCAATTGCCGTCACTCACCCATCCCAATCCAGTGACAATAAAATCACAATCATCCGATCAGTCAGCTCACATACAATAATAACAAAAGCACCGTCGAAAACAAGCCTAATCCAACAAGCCAACCACGAAACAATACAACATTATTCATATAAGCTCTTAAAGCGTTGTCATCTCAGATACTCATTGTTATTCATATTTTGTTATTATTATTATTCATATTCTCTTTTTATTCTTATTCATATTATCTTAGTGTATTATTATTCATATCATCTCTTTTATCATAACAATAATAATAGTAATAATAATCACATTTATTAGCACTACTATAACAATGAAGTGAAACAGCCTAGGGTGAGAATGCAATGTGCAATGGAATGCATTCAAATAATTATAACCACCGACCATCATCTGAAAGCAACAAATTTTATCATACAATCCAACCGATGCAAAATTCTACTATCACAATAACAAATCAAACATCTAACATCTAGTTAGTAGCACCTAGAAAAGTCCATCGATCTGTTCGGTGACTGGATCGATATCGATATCGAAGAAACACGGTCGTGTCGACAGGCCAGGCATGGTTTGCATATCGCCACACAGTGGATAAATAAAGCCAGCACCCACTGACGCACGAACGTCACGAATCGGCAGTGTGAAACCTTCAATTCAATTCCATTTGAATGTTGTCAAAATTTTTGACATTTGACAACTCCAAACATTTGACATTTGACAACTCCAAACATTTGACATTTGACACTTTCCAAAGGTTCATTAAAAAAACGTTTGCATTTGCATTCAATAAGCTCCTATAAGCCTATAAGTGGTCATACAAACCCGTTGGTGCGCCTTTTTTGCTTGGGTCATGCGAAAGGGATAGATGTGTTTTGGCCATGCAGATCGGCAGCTTGCCGAATCCCTGCTTCTCGAACAGATCCAACTTTTGTCTGGCCGCTGGCAGCACCTCAATACCGTCTGCACCGTAAATCTCCTTCGCTATGGTCTCGATCTTCTTTTCTAATTTCTCGTTCAGATCGTACAGGAATCTTAAAAATTTAACAATTACAACATTAATTAATTAACAATTAATAACAATAATAATAATAAAAACTTGCTTGAATTTAGACGGAAGTGCACACGCTTTCACAACCGCTTCGGCCAGCTCTACAGCTCCTTCGCCTCCTTTCGACCAGTGGTCAGAAACCACTGCACCGTTCGCTCCGTAACCTAAAAAATGACAAAAAAAACATTACACCTGAGCTATCACCATCTCGTTCGTACTCTACTACTCATTCAATAATACTAACAACTCCCCAAGTAAGCAAGTAACTCGATACCCAAGTAAGTAAGTAAGTAAGTAAGGATAAAAGTATCAAGTTCCCATCGCAACAAAGCACCATACCCACACCGCACCACCCACACCAATACCAATACCCAGCACACCGCCACCCAACCGCTCACCAACCCAACAACCACACAACTGAGCCATCCTTCACTATCTCTCCATCAAAAATAAACACTTTCCCGCGCAAAATACGCAACCCTTCACATAATCTCTATATACCACTATCACAATAAACATTTACAAATACAAATCGATAACAGCCATTACGAATACGATAATAGTATTAATATAGTGCCACTACTAATCACAATAATTAATAATAATAATAATAAAATAATAATAATAATAATCTCAAAACCCACTCAACGCCTTTCTAATCACCAAATCCAGCTCGTTTTGTGTATCCGAGGCGAATTTGTTCACGCAGATCACTACGGGTACACCGAATTTATTGGCATTTTCTATCTGAAACAAACCACAAATATTATTCTCAAATCACTACAAACATTATAACATAACAAAATTATGACTACTACTACATTATAACTGCATTTTACTCAAACAAATCAATCTGCAAACAAACCAAACACCAATTCTCAAAACCACACCAAAACACTCCTCTACTAACTAACACCCCCCCCCCCCCGCTAATCGAACCACTCTCCACTCAACTCACCTGTTTTCTCAGGTTCGAGTCACAGCCAGCCTCTACCAGCGGTATATTCTCATTCAAATACTCGTATTTCAACGGTGCTCCGGGTGTCACTGCGGGTCCTCCGCCGTGCATTTTCAGTGCCCGGATGGTGGCCACGATCACGACGCAGTTCGGCATCAGGCCTGAGTATCTGCACTTGATGTTGAAGAACTTCTCCATGCCGATATCCGCCCCGAATCCAGCCTCGGTGATCACGTAGCCGTCTGCGCCGACCAGCTTTAACGCCACACTATCGGCTAGGATCGAGCTCTGCCCGTGTGCTATATTCGCAAATGGTCCTGCAACGAACAACTCCTTTTGTGGCACGCACTTCATTTATTACTATTATTATTTTCATTATTATTACTTAATTAATATTCATTATACACTATTATTAATTATATACTATCACTTAATTATACACTATCACTTAATCATACACTATTACTACAACTACTACTAACTACTACTAATAATAATAATAATAACAATAATAATGCAGCTAATCACATACCTGCATGCACGAAAACAGGTGTGCCTTCGATGGACTGCATCAGGTTCGGTCTGACCGTGTCTCTCATGAGCACCGTCAACGCGCCCGTCACCCCCACATCGTCGGCACTCACCGGATTGCCATCCAAATCACTCGCCACCACAACCTTACCAATTCTATCGCGCATATCGCCCAGATCTTTAGTTAGCGCTAGTATGGCCATTAACTTAAATTTGCTATTATCACCAAGCACTATCACCACCCGCATAATGCACTCACCTCACTCGCCACCGATATATCGAAACTGCATTTTCGAATGTGACCCTTTTCCGTTGGTGCGTGACCCACTTCGATTTGACGCAAGAATCTGCAATTTTTATTATACAGTATAATTTATTTGTCTACATAACTATGAGTTTGTATAATTCTTAAAGTACTATTCATACAGTATAATAGTAATTATCTTATTACAGTTACGATTATAAAATAAAATAAAACTAGAGAGAAGATAATAATAACAATAACAATGACAATACAATGCAATAAGCTAACCTGTCGTTCGTATCCATCACCCTATTCCACGTTATCGAGTTCGCATCGATATTCAACCTGGCGAATCGCTTCCTCTCATCCACCGTCAATTTATTCGCATCATCCACCACCTCAATACCCAATCGCTTCAAACGTCGTTCCTGAATTGCCGACAGATGTCGTACTCCTTAAAATATAACAATATCAAAGTATAATGTAAACGTATAAACAATAATAAAAGCACAATAACAAATACTAAAAATAACCAACCCTGTTTATCAGCCGGTACCAATCGGTTGAAGAGTGCCTCGTCGGATTGCGTTGACTCGTGGAACATCCTCGCGTCGATCGCTGCTGCTAGCAGATTGTTGGCCGCTGTTATCGCGTGGATATCACCCGTCAGATGCAGATTAAACTCTTCCATTGGGATCACCTCAATTACTCTCATATAATAATAATAATAATAATAATAATAATAAAAACAATAACCCAATAGCAAATAATACCTGTGCATACCCCCCTCCAGCCGCACCCCCCTTAATGCCGAACGTCGGCCCTTGCGATGGCTGTCTAACACACGCGAACGCATTCTTGTGTAGATGAGCACACAACGCTTGCACGATACCCAATAGAGTGGTGCTCTTGCCTTCGCCCAATGGTGTTGGTGTGATTCCTTTTCATTATTATCATTACTATTACTATTATTATTATTACTATTACTATTATTACTATTACT